GATAACTCAGGAGAGTCTCCCTACTTTAATCACATCTGCACAGTCCCTGTAGCCTTGTAACGTATTTCATAGTCACAGGTTATGGGGACCAAGGCACAGACATCTTTGGGGGCCATTCTGTCTACTAAGGGCTATAGAGAAGTAAACTATTTTAACAATATACACTGATAGATATTAATAAAGGGGAGGTAAAAAGTTGCAATGGGAGCAAGGAGCAGAGACATCTAGATCTTTTGGGAGGAGGCTGGTAAGTCATGGCTGGCTTCCTAAAGCAGGTGACATGTAAGCTGAAACGTGCAGAAAGGGCTCTGAGTCAAAGGGTTAACTCTTCCAGGCAGGTCTGTGCTTGGAGAAACCTGGGCGGGCTGTGCCCTAGGGCGACACTCAACTTCGGTGCCTTTAGCTCAGCCTGGATTTCTGACTGCGGGGTCTTTAGCAGGGTTTGATGGTCCAAGCCTGCACCCAGGGAGAGGCAGGAGAGAATGGGGGTCCTGCCACTTAGCCCCCATGAGGTGGGGGCTTTGCAGTGGGTGGAGCTTGGGCACCAGCACTGAGCTCCCCACCTGCCCCAAACGTCCTGGGGCACGAGAGTCTGTGAACCTCTCCCCCTTTGGGTCTGGTGCCCTCCTTCCCCACCTTTCCATGTACAGCAGATATTATTTTTCAAAAGGAGCCTCAATGCAAAATTCTCTAGTTCACATATTCATAGGATCACTTATTCATTACAAAGTATCTGTTGAGCACCTAACACAGGCCAGGCGCCTGCTAGGGAACGCAGCAGAGAACAAGGTAGAAGGGGCACCTACTCCAAGTGAAATGGAAATGTTTAATTCGGGAACCTGGAAACCTCCGCTCACAACCTGTTGCTAGAGGCCGTGGAGAGTCTTTCTGCTCAGGCGGGTGAGAGTGGAAGCCACAAGAGTGACGACAATTGGTTGAGCATAAGAAATATATAACGACATTGATACTGTCATTGATACCCCTAAGTTCCAGACGAGGAAACTGAGGCACGGGGCGGTTTACCCAACAGTGCCCAGACAATAGGTTGCAAAGCCAGTATTTAAATCTGGCATTCCGACTGCAGAAGCTGAGGCTCAAACACTACATTAGGAGTGTCTGTATGTCTGCCAGACACCAGAATTGTGCTTGGGCTCTGTTTAAGTCCTAACTGGATTCCCCTAATCACCCCACCTTCCCAATTAAGACATGCAGAGGCCCAGGCCCAGGACAGGTCAGTAACCGGTGTGTGTCAGCACTGGGAGCTGAGCTCCTGTCTGCCCAGCTCCAAAATGATTTCCTTGGAGGATGTGGGGAGAGTCAATTGTGGGGAGAAAGGAGCTGGTGGGGAAGGGGGTTTAGAGGGAGAAAAGATGTTCTCAGGGGCATGGCACCGTCAGAGCGGAGGCTGGATGCAGGTGCAGGAGAGGCCTGTGGAGGCAGCAAGGGGTTAATGCGGAGAGAGCAGTTTCTGGGCACAGCTGGACTACAAAGCTTCAGAGGAGTGAGTGGGCTCATGTCAGGTCGTGGAGAGGGAAGGGGTCCTTTGAGCATAGAAGACCCCCCCTTGTTTGCTGAAAAAGGGGAGGGAGGCATGAGCCAGAGCAGAGGGAGTCCGTGTGTGAATGTGTCTGTGTGAGTGAAAGTGAGAGTGTGTGTGAGTGAATGAATGTGAGTGTATTTTGTGTGTGTGTGTCTGTGAGAGAGAGAGAGAGAGAGAGAGAGAGAGAGAGAGAGAGAGAAAGAGAGAGAGAGAGAGGGAGAGAGAGTCAGTGTGAGTAGGGTGCAGGGGTTGTATCCAGACTATGGGAAGGCTATTCTCAAGGAAGAGAGAGACCTTCTTTTCCTAAGAGCAGAAGAAAGCAGCAAGAAGGGTAAGTCTACAGAGAATTTCTTCGTGGAAGAGTGATGTGACAGGGGGAATTTGTAAAATGAGACTCCCATCTTTGTCCCTCATACCACCCCCATGGTATGAGACTGTGTTCATTTCCTGGGGCTGCCATAACCAATCGCCACGAACTGCGGGGCTTGTCAGCAGAAATGAACTCTTCTCAGTGCTGGAGGCCAAAAGTCGAAAATGCCGATTTCGCTGGTGGCTCCTTCTGGGGTGGCTCCTTCCGGGGGCTCTGAGGGAGAGGAGGGTCCAGGCCTCTCTCCATGCGTGGTGGTTGCCAGCATTCCTCAGTGGTCCGGCCTCTGCCTCCATCCTCACGTGGTTCTCCTGTGTGTGCCTGAATCCAAATTCCCCTCTTCTTACAAGAACACCAGCCACTGGATGAAGGCCTACCATAATGTATGACCTCATTTTAGCATGAGTACATCTGCAAAGGTTTTATTTCCAAATAAGGTCAAATTCACAGGTACTGGGACTTGAACATATCTTTTTTTTAAGGGGGGGAAGGGGGAGCGCAATTCAACCCAGAACAGGGCACAAAGGATATAGTGTGTGGAAAGGCGCCCTCAAGGGTATAAAATGCGACAGGAATTCAAGGTTGTACCAAAATCACTGGTTCAAGGGACCTTAACGTTGAATGTATTCCTAAAGTAAACCATTTCTTCCAGAATTTATGTTTTGCACACAACCCCAGAGTGTCCAGTAAAGGGTTTGTTGAAAGTAGTGTCCATCACCGCACAGCCCCTGGGAGAAAGCACTCTTAGCAAATGGACATCCTCAGCGTGTGCTTCCTGGGAAGGCTTCCAGGGACAGCACACATGCTCCCCACCTTCCTTTTAGGGGTAACGGGGAGACCTCTCTGCCACAGATACCCTTTGCCTTGGATGGGGTCTTACTGTGGGTTCTAACCATAAACCAAATGAGCCTCAACTCCCCCCATCTTTTCACCTTCCTCCCACCCTTAGATTCCTAGTTAATCCATCTAAGGTCAGAGGTCAGGTGTGTCTTGAAGGATGGGCGCCTCTGTGGACTATTTAGGCTTTAGGCTCTGTAGTTGCTGTTAGGGAAGTGGTGGCCAGAAGGGGGAACCGTCTCTCAGGGGCAGGAGGGGGAGGCAGGAGCCAGGGAGCACGTCTGGATCCCAAGCGCTGTGCACCAGCCTCTCCTCTCCTGGAACGTTGCTCAGCCACAGCAGCCCAGCCTCTGAGTAGGGAGGCAGCTTAACATAGTTTCCTTCTGCCATTTCGGGGCCCATTTGGGGTCAGGGGGCCCTTAAAGAGTTTGATCAGAGCTACAGACATTTCTCCTAGAAATATATGTAACTACCCACAAAAAAGCTCAGATAGCTTTAAAAGCTTCCCTGACACCCTGAGGCTTATTCATGAACCCATGGCTCATGCCCCCAGGTTGAATACACTCTCCACCCGTTGAGGACACAGAATTCAGCCTGGGGTAATCGGTTTGCTCCCGTGTTGTCCATTTCCTTAAAGGGAAACCCAAAACGGAAGTATAAAGTCTGGGACTCTTGTTCTAACCATATATATATATATATATATATATATATATATATATATATATACATACACACACACACACACACACATATATATAATTAAAAAAATTTTTTTACAGAGAGGAAGGGAGACAGATAGAAACATTGATAAGAGAGAAACATCCATCAGCTGCTCCTGCACACTGCACTGGGAATGTGTCCATAACCAAGGTACATGCCCTTGATCGATCGAACCTGGGACTTTTCAGTCCACAGGTCGACGCTCTATCCACTGAGCCAAATTGGTCAGGGCTCTAGCCACAATAAAGAGAGTTTGTTTCCATTAAATAAAAGCTACTCCTCCCCTTTAAAGATGAGGATCTGAAGGAGAACTTTGCTTTAGTGGGGGGAGGAGAAGAAGTGATGGGAGCAGGAGGGACGTATCAGCTGGAAAAGCACCTGTGGCCCCCTGTGTTTGTAAATGAGATTCATCCATCACAAATATCTGCAGTGGCCCTGGGATCCCACAGTACACCAGGGTGGTGGGGTGACTGCGAGCCAGCAAGTGGGGTTCCAGCTTCTAAGGACCTTGTCCTCTGAAGTTAGTGGGATGTATGTGCTTACAAAGGACTAGGCTGGGAGGCAGGAGACACGTGGAGCAGGCCTTAGACCCCTCACTGAGGGCATCTCAAAAGCAAGGCTTCCACAGCCCACTGATTGGCCTCTTCCCCAGACCAGCTAGAATCTGGGGGTGTCGTCTAGCAGGGAGAGCCCTTCTGTTGCCCAAAAGATGAATGGATCTACAGCAGACCCCCACCCCCTTCTTTCTCACCCAGGAACACATGCCCTCCTCTTCTCTACGTCCAAACCCTTTTAGACTCTGGGGACCAACCCCTCTCCAATGAGGGCCGGGAGAAAGACCCTGATGAACCAACCTTTGGGGATTAGCTTGGGAAAGTCTCTATATAAGCGCTCTTTGGAGGTGGGGAACTCTCACAGACTCAAGGGAGGTCTTCATTTGGAGATGTCCAAGTTTAGCGAGCCCAGTCCCCCTCAGCGGTGTCCAGGCTTTATGTTGGAGTTTTCCTATTAGGAGACCCTGGATGGGGGTCAGGGTTTTTGTTTGAGGGGGTCTCCAGTTGTCTGAGGTATGGCCGTGTGCCTGGCCCAAGGGGCTGGGGATTCCTGCGAGGCTCCTAAATCCCTGTCTTTCACCCCCTGCGGCGCCTGGGCCTGGGGGACTATGGGGGGGTCCATTGGCGGTCTGGGGGCAAGGACCCCTTCCCTTGCCCACCCCTCGGGACCGGCCAGAGACGCAGGGGAAGGGGACAGGGTGGGGGAGCGGTGGGGGCGCACCCGCCAGGCCAGGCCTGAGCCGTCGGGGGCCTGGGAGCTGGGAGCTGGTTTGGGGAGGCCGAGCCTGGGTGTCGGGCGAGTTGTCCCGCGGGGCAGAGGGAGCGGCGGCGGCGGCGCGCGCGGGCGAGGGAGCATGCCCGTTGGAGCCCGGCCTCGGACGCGCCCCGGCCGCCGTCTCCACCTCCGCCTCCTTCTCCTCCTCCGTCTCCTCCTCCTCCTCCACCTCCTCCTCCTACTCCTCCTCCTCCAGTCCCGCCGCCGCCGCCGCAGCCAACATGGCTGCGCTCCTGAGCCCGGGAGGCGGCTGCCGCTGAGCGCCGCCCGCCGCCGGGCCCGCCGCCGCGCCCCCGCGCATGGCCCCCGCCGCCCGCGCCCCGGCGCGCTAGGCTGCAGGCGCCGGGAGCCGCAGCCCCGGCGGGCGGGCGGGCGCGCGCCGCCATGGAGCCGCCGCGCCGGGAGCTGCTCGCCCGCTGCCAGCAGAGCCTGGCCCAGGCCATGACGGACGTGGAGGCCGTGCTCGGGCTGCTCGAGGCCGCGGGCGCGCTGAGCCCCGGCGAGCGGCGGCGGCTGGACGCGGAGGCGGGCGGCTCCAAGGCGGAGCGGCTGCTGCAGCTGCTGCTGGCCAAGGAGCGCGACCCCCTCCCGGAGCTGCGGGCGGCGCTGGAGAAGACGCAGCCCCACCTGCTGCCCATTCTCTACCTGAACGGCGTCGTGGGGCCGCCGCAGCCCGCCGAGGGCGCCGGTGAGTGTCCCGCCCGCCTGGCCGCGCGGCCCGCCTCCGCCGCCTCCCTCTCCGGCCCTCGGAGGGGCGCGGGGAGGCCCCGGCGCTACCTGGCGCGGTCCCGGGGCCAGCAACCTCCCTTCTCCAGCTGCCGGGGACCCCGCTTCACACCTCCTCCAGGGCCGGGGACAATGCCCGCGCTGCAGGCCTGGGCTCCGGGGCCGGGGCTGCAGGGTCCTCCTGAGACCACCGGGTCCAACAAGGGCCAGCCCCCTGGGGACCGCCGGGGGATGTCTGTCAGCCCCATTTCCGAGGCTCTTCACCACCCACCGGTCCTTGGAGAGCCTCTGGGAGCCTTTCGTTAATACAACAGTCAAGGAGACTGGACCCTGGGCCAGGACCCGGAGTCCTGAATGTGGGTCCCTGGCCACCTGGTTTGGGGATCACGGGTGCCTTTTCTCTTCCTGGCTCTCTCCGCTCCCTCTGCCCAGAGCTCAAGCCCCTCTGCGAGCCCAGACTTGTGGCTGGTTGTGCACAATGCCTGCTAGGTTTCTTTGGAAACTGTGGGCCCGGAAAAGTTGGGGAAGTTGCATTGCACCATGGGAAAATCCTAGTAAGTGGCTGCTGGGGCTCAGATCTCAGAATGGGAGTGCTGAGCGGTGCCACAGCGAAGACTGGTGCTGGTTCCCTTGGGTGGTGGGTGACGGATTTGTGAGTTTTCACGTGTGTGGGGTGATGCTGGGAATTTGTGACAAGGGGTAGGCCTGGGCTGGCCTGCTTGGGGAGTGTGGACAGCCAGTATTTGAGACAAGGAAGCTCCAGGAAGGTGTAGCACCGAAGAAGGAAGAGGACAAGCATGTATTAGGCACCTACTGTTGTGGTGGGGACACTGGTTTATCGCGTTTCCTTGTTAATACTCTGTGAGCTATTGTTCTAACCTTGCCAGAGAGAAAACTCTGGCTTGGAGCGGTTAAAACGCTCAAAGTAGTTTTCAGTTGTGACCTACTGTTTTATTTAACTTGTTCGGAGCCAGGAAGCGGTAAGTTTCTATGTCTTGTCCTTGTTTTAAGGGTGAACCTTAAGGACCAAAAGACGGCCTGTAGCAACCTGTAGGCCCCAGGCTGAGGAGACCCGTTTATAAGGCTGTTAAATGCCTCCCTTATTAAGGGGATGATTTTATAAGCCGTTCTTGGTAACAGCTCTGATGTGCACTCGCCCGCTGAACCTCAACTTTTTATAGGGAAGGGACTGACCTCCAGAGGGACTAAATGGCCGGCCACACAGCGTATCTTTTTATTGGTGGCCCTTTTGTCTCCACTTGGGGTTGCTGACTCTCTAGCATTTACACCCCTCAAACCTGTGTTCTGTCCCCCCCCCCCCCCCCCCCCCCAATTATGATCGTATCTGAGTTTCTGGGCAAACCCAGCCCTCTCCTGGAATGGTGTTTTTGAAGATGCAAGGAAGGATAAGGACAGAGGGAAATCTCTTTGCGGTGACTTTTTTTCCTTTTAAGTTGCTTTTATCTTTCTGCCTGCCTCTCATTTATCTGCCTTTGAAGGAGCGGGTTTATCGCGGATTCCCAGAAGCCGGATTGCGGAGTCAGGCCCTGCTGGGGCGTGTTGGAATCAGTGCTAGGCGCAGTGTCAGGCGTACAGGGGTGAATTGCCGTCATGTAGGTGCCCCCTTTGCCTTGGCTGGTGGGGAAGACGGGGCCGCACGGAACCAAAGTTCTAGGAGCCGCTCCCACCCTGTGAGGAAGGAATGGAGTAGAGTTTGGGTTTTATGCCCAAGGGCAATGGTTTCAGACCCGAATTTTACTACAATGTAGAGATCTGTAGCCTTGCAGAGGGTCATGAAATCCACAGAAAAATAATTTTCAAGGGGAAGTTAAATTATTTTAGTTCATACTTTAGAAAATAAATATAGGGTAGCATATGATGTCATAAGATGCCACCTAGAGCTTCTGGGAGAGAAGTGACACGATGTGCAAGCTAACAGTGGCGTGCTGGGGTCTGTGTAAAGGAGGACAGACTGTGCAGTGGTTTTCCAGCTCTTTTTCCTTTCAGCCAGGGAGCCCTTATGGGGCAGACCTCAGTGCATAAAAGCGCTGCTGTGGCTGAAGGGGTGGCTGTACCCATCGCACCCCCAGGGAGCCAAAGTCCGGGGAATCCGGTCCTGTGTCCTGCACCCTTGCTCTCCCAGCAGTTTCCACTCTGCGTGCAGGTCCACTGCTCTGCTGTGGGTCGGCCTTAGAGCCAGGCCCGTGTGGGGACCTGAGAGGAAGCAGTTGGCTTTGTAAGGATCAAGCACAGCATCCAGGGAAGGCCCCTTGGTCACCATCTCTGTAGTGGAGGTGCTGCCACCACCCAGGTATGGGCTTCCTTGGCCCAGAATGCCCATCCCCTGCCTGGCACGTGTATGCTGTGGGAGTTGGCTGTGCTGCAGGCCTACACTGTCTGACAGCCCCCCCCCCCCCCCCCCCCCCCGGGCCCTGGAACCGGGAGGAAGCAAACCCACCTGTTCTGCCCATGCTTAGTTAGAGCCCCGGACATTTATAACCCATCATGCTTAGGCTTGGCGTGTGAGAGTGGCTAAGAAAATACAGTGCTGTTTTATTTCGGGTGGCAGGGGGGCTCCTATGTCAAGACTCACAGTACAGTGCTGTTCAGCGTATGGCATCTTACTGAGTGCTTTATTTTTTATTTTTTTAAAAATATTTTATTGACTTTTCACAGAGAGGAAGAGAGAGGGACAGATAGTCAGAAACATCGATGAGAGAGAACATCGATCAGCTGCCTCCTGCACACCCCCCACTGGGGATGTGCCCCCAACCCATGTACATGCCCTTGACCGGAATCGAACCTGGGACCCTTCAGTCCGCAAGCTGACGCTCTATCCACTGAGCCAAACGGTTTCGGCATTACTGCGTGCTTAAGTATCTCACTTAGTCCTGTGGTGGCTCCAGTGAGACGAGTGATGCCTTCCCGCGTGATGCTGGGCTCTGAGCCCCCATCCCTGAGTGTGAGGACAGGACAGAAGTTGCAGGGCAAAGAGGAGTGGGAGTCCAGGGGAAGCAGTTCCTGATTCTGCGATTGGGGACACCTCTTCCTATGACCTGGTTCGACCCTCCCCCTATAATTGCAGGCATTTTCTGCCTTGGGGACCCCCGGGGCTCCTGCAGCCTCTCCTTGTCCCCATGTGGGTCTGTAAGGAGGGGGGGATCGTCCCTGCACCCCTGATGGTAGAGTGAGGGGAGAACTGCTGTGTCCCTCGATGGCTCAGCCTGGAGGCTTTTTCCACCATTGTACCAGGATCGTGTTTGTTCACTTGGAACCCAGGCGGTCTTTTTCTCCCCTCTTTGATTCGGTTACTAACAGCTGGGTTTTCTCACTTGAGGAACATGGACTGTCTGTTCCTGGAGTGAGGGCCTTCCTGGCTGTGTGAGCCTCAGTGTCTTCATCTGGGAGATGGGGCTAAGTGTACTGCACTGCCTGCCTCAGCCCCTGGGAGGGTGGAGTGTGATCGGAGAGGACCGAAGTGCCTGGCTCTGTGCTTGCTCCAGGTGAGGCCGGAGGGTGTAGATAGAGACAGGGGTGCGTAGGATGTAATTCCAGCCTGCAGCTCACTGCCTCCACTGGGGGAATGGAACACTCGGGAGAGTGACAGTATGAGACAGATCAACTGAGTGATACAATACAAGCAGGCCTTTTCCTCCCTTTAAAAGCTCTGGATGCTACATGGCTTCCCCAAATACTCTCCTCCACCCTTAGGGTCTCTAATTCCCATCTCCCTGTGGAGGGCTCCCCACGGCAGGCCTCCCTGGTGGGACAGAAGTGGCCAAATTTGGTGATTGCCGCCAGTCCCTGTAGGGCAAGCATGTCAAACTCAAAGGCTAACGCGGGCCAAATAAATGAGGCATGCGGCCCGTGGGCCGCAAGTTTGACATGCTTGCTGTAGCGTGTGCTCCGAGCTGGATGTTTCTTCTCTTCCCCTCCATGCGTCATCTTTAGTTTCCTAGTGAGCTGGCTGATTGGGCTTCACCAGAGTGAAGAGAATGGAGACAGTGGCAGCTGTTGGGGGTGGTGGAGGAAGCTTCATGGAGCCTGAGCTGGGTGTTGAAGTGGCACTTTGAACACGCAGAAGGAAAGGAGGACGTTCTGGGCGCTAGGCATCGCCCGAGCGGAGCAGTGTGTTCAGGTTGCAGAATTAGGCCAGCCTGAGTGGCGTGGGGGATGCAGAGCTCACCTGGAGGACCACGATGGCCAGCCGAGCGAGGCGTTTGGCGTCTCTTGGAGTTCAGGCATTGTGCACTTGTCAGAAGTTAAAGCTGGAGGAATTTTTCTTGAAGGAATAACCCTGCCAGGTTTTTCCAGTAGGACAGGTGCAGTTGGCTGCTGAGAGTCAGGTGTGGATTATTTATTATTCATTAGAGGTTACCTGGGCCTTTTGTTCTCTGCCTACTCACTTAGGTACCAGCCACTTTTTCTTCATCTGCTTTGCCCTGGAGGGTCAGCAGGGACAGTAACATAAATAAAAGCTCCAACCAGTGTAGCTTTTCTCTTCATTGTGTTATTTGAGAGGAAGAGGTGGAGGAACTCGGAAGGAATGATGGAGAAGCGTTTTCTAAGAGAAAGGCAGAATTTATTTCTCTCTCTCTGGTTTAGTTCAGGGTGCCTCTTGCAAGGGACAGAAACTTAGCCCAAACTGTATTAGACAGAAAAGAGAAGTTTATTGTATAATATTTCAAAACCTTGGGATGGGTTGGGGAACTGGCGCTTGGGTGCTTGAGCCTCAATGCTGCCCTCTTTTCCTAGAACGTGGTTCCCAGCTTCCGGGCTTCCACCTTCACAGCCCCTGACCAGAGGAGAAAGGGCGCTCTATCCAGCGAGTCCAGGCAGAAAAACCTCCAGGAAGGATTTCCTTTGGCCTGACAAGGGTCACGTGTCCATGGGAGGCCCAGTCCTTGTGGCCAGGGCTAGAGGACTAAGCTTGGCCCAGCAGCGGACCCAACCAATAGGGCT